ATTCGTGTAAACAGGTGCTTGTTGACAGAAAAACATCTAGTGTATCTAGAACATGCCTGAGTGGTGGGGAGGGGTAGGGGGTCTCTCCGAGGCTAGGTTTGAAGGGCCCAAGACCCTTGAGACTGGGAACTGAGGCCCACAGAAACCAACTGATGACAACCCACCAATTCCATTACTGCAACGTAACACCATACACCGTTGTCTCTCCGGATATATAACTAGCCTATCTGGATATATAACTTGCCTCTCCGGATATATAACTTGCCCCTTCGATGAATCAAGTCTAGCTACGGGCCTGATATCGCTTGGAAACATGAATTGTGAAACACTTTTTTATTTTTATTTAGAAATGTTATTCTTTACATTATGGTTCAATCTTGGCTAGATTGAAATCTCTAATTTAGTGACCTTTCATATCTTTGAAGACCCTTTTTTAAATCAACTTTTGTAATAACTGTTCCTAAAAAATATATACAACTTTTGAAGACCTTTTTTGGAATTAATTTTTATAATTGCTGTTTCCTAAAAATCTTTAAGGCCATTTCAGTTGACATTTACTTTACGGCTCAAAGATCTGCCTACAATCATTGCTGGTTTTGCTCTTGTGTTTTCGGCAAACTTTTGACAGAATGAACAACGTTCGTCCAAAATACCTGGCAATTCTTTTCAGTGAAAATTCATTCCGTTGTTCAGATGGCTTGAAATTACCTTATTTGGTGAATGTGTTTCGTGTATACTTAGCAACGTTGGAATATACATGTACCTATTTTTTTTACCTTTTGGACTTACACTCGAAGCGACCAAGTTGATGCAACATCTACGTCCACGCCCCCACCCTACACCCCAGGTTAGGAACCAGGGAGCTATGTCAACGACCGCTGAATATTTAATCCAAGTTTTTGTTTCTGACCCTATACTTTTAAATCTTATTTAACCGGTTTCTATATCAGTCGTTTAGTTTTTTCTACAATTATTTTTTGTGTACGATATGAGCTCTCGCTATTTGACTGAAGTCAAGTGACGACTATTTTTATGGAAATAGTATTAACCTTTAGGAGCTGATCAAGATTAAAGTTTGTAAATTAACACTTATTTCGTTGGCAATTTCTTTCTAAATTGGCATTTTTACACATTGATATTGGATATAAAATCTAAAGGTTACTACAAAAGGAAATAAAACGCGATTTTCAATTAGTTTTTTTCGTGTTATCGAAGGGTAAATCTCGAAAGTAAATCAACTTTTAGTATCATTTCTTATTGGTAGTCCGTCGTCTAAAGGTTACAACTCTTCCGAATGACAATCTGTCGTAAAGCCAGTGGAATAAAAGATGATCCCATCCTGTAGGGGCGGGGCGGGACGGGGCGGGGCGGGGCAGGTGGGTGGAGAAGACTTTCAAACGTTTTTGCATCACCGAGTATGACTCCTATGACAAGCTAATACGACTCATTATGCCATTGACTAAGAACTTATTGGTGAAATCGATTAGAACTCGCCAGGCGATTGACTATGATTCAAATTGAGAAAATGACGCATGACTCCCTCGTTTAACAAGCGACTTGGACTACTATCTACTGAGAATGTGGCTCATTATGAAGATGATTTGATAAGCGATCATGACTCATCGAGTCGTACCAGCCCCACCCCACCTCCGTATCATTACGTGACAGATTGTGACTGTAACAATTGACCCTTGGGATTAATAATCTTCTAGACTTCAATACCAATCTCAGTTAATTCGACCTAATCCCGGGTCGTTGATACCAGCTGAGATCAAAATGGACATCTAGCATGCAACTAGTCCAATCAGCATAATCCTTCAAGGTCAAGCTGTAAGCCTTGTGGACAAGACAGGAATTTTGAATGATTCGCAACATGAGGTGAGAATCTTAATTGATATGACCAATTCCTTTTGAGAATCCAGCGACTATGGGATGATTCCAAAGAATTCGGAATATGTTCATTTTCTCAATTTTGACCATAGAAAACTGCTAATGTGTTTGCCATTGGATGCAATATTGGTTAAGATTTGCTATCGTGGTCGATGAAAAGAAAAAGGGTTTTATAGCCTCATATTGTCCTTAAATACTGTATTGGCCTTGAGTTAATAATAAACTATTTATTTTACATGATCAGAATAAGACAGGGGTATGGTCCTGTCTAACATTCAGACTGTTGTTGATAAGATGGACAAAGACATGCAGAGTTCAATGTTCGGAATTATGCCAAAGCAGTTCTTTCTTATGTACAGCCAGAAAACAACATTATCATCCGTCCAGAATCGCTATCAAGGCTAAAGTTTGGAAAAAGCAAAAGCCCTGAGGTAAAATTGAAAGTAAACTGATATGGAAACTGTTTCTGAAAGTCACGCTGTTTTGAAAACTGTTGCAAAAACTACAGTCTGACATTTCTTGATTATTGGGAATTGCATGATGTTTTTCAGATTCAAGAGGAAACTATTTGCCGACATCCTAAACATTCAACATAATCGCCATTACGTTATCAATTGACATTTTAAGATAATTTTGTAGGACTTCGGAGAAAATAATCTCATAAAAATCAAATTCAAAGTGAATTTATATAAATCGGATTACTCCCCCGAAAATTCAAAATAAATCGTTTGACCTTTGTGAAATTGTCAACAAGTTGATAAACACGCCGTTATCACAACACGCCCAAGATTATCCTGCGATATAACCAATAAGTACTATAAGTGTAAATTATATTAGCTGTTTCTATTATTGCATTTTATATGAGCTTGAAATTGAATGATCGTATTATTTGCCGGGATTCAATACTCTCTAACAATATTTCCTTTTCAACTTGCTGATGAAATAAGTCTAAAGTGTTTGTACATTGGTTGTTGTAAAGCGGTGGTTTTTAGTCTTCACACTCCTGGAGCAATCACCTGGACCTTTCGCATCCCCAAAAATTTGTTTCATCCACATTTCCAGCATGTGGTGTTTTGAGCTGCTCTCTCAATTCAAAATAAATGTTTTAATTACACCAGTTGGCCACACCCCTGACGCCCTAGTCCCACACCCATCCCCAGGGGGTCAAAGCACCACAGGTTGGAAACCGTTGTTGTAAGGTATAAATGGCATACCATGTTTTTTTAAAGAGGCATTTATTAAGATATCAAGGTATTACCAGCCACGTGATAGACACTTTCTTGTATCAAGGAAGTTTGTAAATACAGCGGTTTGATTGGATTGGATTGTACACTACCAAAAAAATACAGCTGATCAGAGCAGAAGGATGAAAATACTGTAAACCGTGTTGTTGGTGTTAAAATCGACCAAATTTCACCTCACGAATAGAACAAGATATCCATACTAAAGCTCATTAATGTCAACACATAGTTATTTATCCCAAACTATAAATCGATCTGCTAGTTGTGAAAATTATGAAATTTTTCTATAAAAATAACCTAAAATAAAACCCAATTTTAAGAAATACAATTCTCCGATTGGATAATTAGGTTAAATTCAAAATCGATTTTACTGATTGATCAATTTGATCATTCCATTTTGTATCATAAAGTTTACATGCATTCGATCGAGAACTCTGATTGGCTGTATTCGCTAACGTACAATCGAACCAAATCGCTGCATTTACAAACTTCCGTGATTTAAGAAATGTAGCTATCGTAATCAAGGTATAAGACAAAGTTCGTAATAGCTTGACATCGTGACGATATCTGTCTACACGCTCGAACTCCTTGTCGAATCATTAAGGCTGTAACCAATACGGGATATCCCTGACTATTAGGGACAAGCACCGTACTAATTGATCTACCAGGAAAGCGTTGGTGGTTTGAACAGGCTGTTGAATCGGTCGACTCGGATGTAATGATCATTAGGAGATTAGATCAAAATTACCTCTAAACTCCTTAAATCATTATACATTAATTTTATTTCTCGAGTAATGGGTAAGATTACAAATAAATTGCGAAATAGGCGTTATGTCACTCCGAACGTGACAAAACTGAGTTTCACGTGATCATTTATGCCGATTCTATGATGTTTTAACAGTTAAGTTGAAATGAATATTGCAACACTAAGTAAACCTTATGACAGCGGAAATGGGCAAAAATCAGTGACCGAATTTCGTTGCTGTCAGTGTTCTTATGAAGCAAGAGTTATAACTCCAGTTTATTGTCTTGTACCATGAGATCTAATGGTTTGATAAAAGAACACTTGTTGGTTTATTGCATGTCGAATTTGAAAGAATCGTTTAATATTTGAAATGTTTTGTTCTCAGCGATCTTTTTTGTCCAATTCAGCAAATTGAAATCATTTTATGCATTTGAATTTTTCTATCTAAGATTTCTTTCTCCTATAAATGGTTAAAAAAAATAATTGGATTTATGATATACGTACTTAAGACACACCACTAGGTCGACGACTCCGTTGTTGGTGGACAGGATTTCCCCCGAGGCCATCTGAAGCCTTAAGATCACAGGGTCTCGGTTATTGTCTCATCCTTGAAATTATTAAGACGTTGTTTTTCCATGTCAGTCAATATTAACCAAGGGGAACCGGGTGAAATGATATCTTTTGATGAGTTAATTTCATCTTTAAAGATTTCGGACAACTTGTAGCTTTTGGAAGCAATTATTCTTGAGAGTATTATTTCACAAAGCTTGTGTATTATTTTGGACATGTCCAAAGCCAATGACGTGATTGTGTCCACACATCTCTAGAGCACTCATCTTCCTACTCAAACAAGTCATAAACATAAAACTTATTAATTTCACGTATACTTCTAATATTTATTTATAACTTTAATCTCTTTTCAGGCTAGAGTGTAATCTTGTGTATGGGAGGAACTCGCGGATACAAATAATAGTAAATCGGAATATCGAGTAATAGCCAGATCAAATAATTGAACTTCAGTTTATAAGTGTGACTGTGTTGGCCTGACGTTATTGGTGTGACGGCGTGACGTTATTGGTGTGACGGTGTGACGCGCGTTACGGTGGGGTCGAATTAAGTGCCTAATGGCAGGGTATCGAAAGAGTACAAAAAACTTTGTATATCCAGTGACATGTCGTTATGTACGGACGTTATTTCTAGTGATATTAGTAATATTATCTCAAGTGACTTTAACCTATTCCCGAGCTAGCAGACAAAAAAGACATATATGGGAAAGACCCGGATGCACCAAAGTTTGTAAGTATTTCCCATTAGTGCTACAGCCGTGTACAACGATATCCCTTGCTGATAGCTCATAGCTAACAATGTAGGGCGTATTCAAGCTAACCACTCCGACCCTGGGCATGGATTTGGTAGATAGACAGCCCCCTTTTGGTAGTTGATCAGAATTTCTTTAATCGTTGCCACTTGATGCTTTACTGTTATGTTAAATGTAGTTGCTTTGATAATTATTGGACTGATTCTAGCCAAGATTTCCGACTGTAAACTCTTGTAAAAATACTAAACAATACCTTCTTTTGAATTTCAGTTCATGCACGTGTTGTAAAAATACCATATTGTGTAGAATTTCGGGTTGAAACGAATGCTTGTCGAGGATTTTGTGAATCCTACGCACATCCTTCCCTCAGTTCGACTTTATTATTAAATCCTAATTTACGGATCACTTCTCGGTCAGAATGTTGTAGTATTACCAGTACACACGATGTAAGTATTACTTTACTTTTCTGGGATCTAATTTTCCCAATGGTCCATGTTTCAAAGAAACCGGTTTGCTAGGAAATTGTCAGTCTTTCCGGGATACAATTTGATAGACAATGACCCATATTTCTACAATCATTCTAGATCAAATGGCCAATGTTTCTTGGATCCAATTTGTTAGGAAATGGCCCATCTTTCTTGGTTCAGACTACTAGGAAATGGCCCATCTTTCTTGGTTCCAATTTGCTAGGAAATGGCCCATCTTTCTTGGTTCAGACTGCTAGAAAATGACCCATCTTTCTTGGTTCCAATTTGCTAGGAAATGGCCCATGTTTCTTGGATCCAATTTTGTAGAAATGACGAAACTTTCTTGGTTCCAATTTGCTTGGAAATGGCCAATGTTTCTTGGATCCAATTTTGTAGAAATGACTCAACTTTCTTGGTTCCAATTTGCTTGGAAATGGCCAATGTTTTTTGCATACTATTTGCTTGGAAATGACCCGCTATTCTTGGATCCAATCTGTTAGAAAATGGCTCGATGAATCTTTTCCTATTGAACAGTGCTCCAACAAAATGAGTAGGGGCCGGTGGCGTTGGGGGTTGTAACAATTTTTACTCCGTACAAATACTATCCTGTCATCATCTACCACTTACGTCTGAATGGAAAATAGGTTAATTTTTGGACTAACTGTAATGGGACCATGAATTGTCTTCGTTCTTTGGCAATTTAATCTCCTCCAATTCGTATATAAAAACAAATGACCAACATGGAAATAGGTTTGACCTTTCATTAAACAATCTATCATATGTAAGAAAAGACTTTGGACAACTTTGAGGTCTAAATCCGTTTATTTGACATCAAGAGTTGACTTTTAAAAGTCACTGATTAAGGTTCGTTACATCATATAATCTTGCCTTAATCTGCCTGTCGCCTTCGCGTCTGGTGATACTGTATTTCAGCCCCGACTTATCCCTTCTCACAATGTCAAGCTATTACGACCATCGGCTAACAGTCGACCTTGACTACAATAGCCATCTTTCATATATCACGAAATGCAGTGATTTGAATGGATTATACGCCAGAAAATACAGTCAATCAGGGGCCTCGACAGAAAGACTGTAAACATTATGACTTTTTGTCGATGCCTGTGATTGGCAGTTTTCGCTAGCGTACAGTCTAATCAAATCACAGCATTTAAAATAACTTCAGTGATACAAAGAAGATCATGTACTTTGGTATCGGATTCTTTAAGAAAGACAAACTGATGTGGTAACCATCCGAAGTAGTACATTAGAATTTGTTTGATTTAATATTAACAGAAATACTGACAATATGAATCAAATTGATATAAAAAAAACTTCAGTGGATTTGGAGAACCCATTTTCGAATTTTATACGAAAAAGTGATACAATAGATATTTTTAAGACTGCATCTAGAGTGTGAAATGCTGAATCCAACCTTGAAAAATCTTTCGTTTGTGTAATATTTCGGCGTTTGATTTTGTAAGATCCGAAGTAAACCAAATGTAAATGCTGTATTTGACCCAATACCAACAGTACACAGTAATCTATTTTTAATAATTTTCTGTTCTTAATTGGTCCAACACTCACGACTTTGTTTGATATAGATCTCATAATTCAGTTGATATTTACTTACAGACACACATTGGGATACGATTAGAATCCTAAAAGTTATAAATTCTGTCACTGTGCCACGGGCTTCTTAACTTGAAAATCAAATCCTTATTTAAACTTAACGCGGACGTCAGAGAAACCCCCTAAGTTGTTGAGTTGACTTTTAGTAAATATTAGATCTGAATAAGACGCTATGATTTACATCAGTGACTCTTATAACATTCTGTTTGGTATTTAATCCAGTATTATCTATAGATTGCAATTAATATGATATATCTATAAACATCGCATCTCAGTTCATTCGAAATTTTTATTCCAGTAAAAATCACGTTCGATTGATTCTGACATTTGGACGTTATTTAAACTATTTAAAATTTGTTGTCTGAAGTAATATCCAGTCCATTTGACCGATTTTCTGACAGCGAGAGATTCATTACTTTGTAAATGTTACCATTTACATCATATAAACACCTTTCAGCGATTTTATTGCATTGAACCACACGTTTTAGATAGCGGAAGCGGATGAGTTAAAATATATAACCCAATACTAAATACAGAATTCCTTTACCGGAACCTGAAAAGAAACTATCTTACAAGAATAATAATTTGGAATCTCTATGATATTGTATACTCGTGTCTACTCCGTCCTTTGTCAATCTTTTGCCAACCCTTTTGCAGATATACGGTACCCATTTACAACTGAGACTGAACAGTGTAAGGGAATAACAAAAATATAAGGGAATAACTAATATATAAGGTATCAACTAATATATAAGGGATTAACTAATATATAAGGGATTAACTAATATTTATGGGATTAACAAATTCATAAGGGAATAACAAAATAAATATGGACATAGCCAATATATGAGGGAATAACTAATATATAAGGGAATAACTAATATATAAAGGATTAACTAATATAGAAGGAAATAACTAATATATATGGGAATAACTAATATATAAAGGAATAACTAAGGGAATAACTAATATATAAAGGATTAACTACTATATAAGGGATTAACTAATATATAAGGGAAAAATATATAAGAGATTAAAAAATAACTAATATATAAGGGAATAACTAATATATAAGGGATAAACTAACATATAAGGGAATAACTAATATATAAGGGAAAAGACGTCCTGTTGGATCCTCGTGGTACTGAACTTTCCCATGTTATCTGCCCGAAAATATCTAAAACAGATGACTTCCACAAGGTCACATAAGCGTATCTTATTTTAACATGTTTCTGATTTGAAATTTACCATCAGGAAAGATTTTCCGGAATATCTTAAAGAGAAATATGCTTATATTTTTCAGGTTACAGTCCGAGTTTGGTGTATCGGAACCGGGTGGACAAACAAGACGTTTAAATCTGCAGTCGATTGTGGTTGTTCAATTTGTAGACAGGACTGAGTTAACAACACCGGAAATTAAAACAAACCAAATAGGGCCGCTTAATTGCGATTTAATGATACAAAGTATTATGGGATGTGATGGTGAATCTGTGATAACCTTTGGGTCAATAATTTCTTTCAACTTAAAAAACTTACGAGAGTGAATGTCTTCTCGTGGATTAAAGAACGATCTCAATTAACGAAACGGAAATTTAATTCTCTGTGGTATTGGTAGAGCATAAAAGAAATGTGTTTATTGGAGATAATGGATGCCAGATTGTTTTCGTTGAATAGCAGAAACCGCGAGATTATATTCCATTATAATCCGATATAGTTGACTGAACGACCGTCGCGATTCGCGTAAAACACGTTAATCGAACACAACTTTTATAGTTGAGGAATTTAAAAGTAGAAAATTGCAAAACGTTCGTCTGGTCGTCATATTAATTTCCAATCGAATCAAAAAAGGTTTAAACAAGCCCACACATTCGAGTCTGCTTTAATATAACGATCACTGATTAATTCCACAGTCTCTGATCTGAAAACTGTACCCGATAAAAGACAATCAAATCATTCGGCTGAGCAGGTACCTTGTTCCTGGCTACTGGTATGTGTGGGTTTTGATCAATTTAACTTTGTTCTAGAATTTCTGACATTTCAATAATTGCAAGTACCGGTTATAGTGATCAAGAGCAAACGGTATGGTAACAAATTGACTCAAGTTGATAACCGGACAGATAAATCGAACACAACTTCACAGTGGAATGGAAGGCGAAAGTTCTAGATGAGTTGTACATAGATTATAGATACATAATGATCATAGCACAAAATGCAACGTGTTAACAAATATACGAAAGGTTATACAATGGCCAGGGTGATTGAAATTGCTGTATAAGAACCATGGGTACATATCGGATAAACACATGGATAATGCAGAAACTGCGTGGTCACATATCGATCCGTTGAACGGATCAACCAGGGGTCAAAATTTATAGACATAGCCGCTTAGCGGACCAATCACGTTTATAAATCAGTCTAATTAAAATTTGACCAACTTTTCGTTCCGTTTATATTAGGGAATCACTCAGAAGTGGTTGAGTAATATTAAAAGCTAATAAAAGTACGGTACGGAAGTTTGGTCGTATATATATAATAAAATTGATTATAAGTACGCAAAGGTTACGGTTCGATAGGGGTAATCGAACCAAATTCACCAGTTGTAGAGATAGATCAAATTAACAAATTGTAGCCATAGGGGTAAAAGATGTAGAAGGTTTAAGAAAATCTCCAACTCAACATAGCGATTAAAGTTTCTTATCTACCATAATAGTGCATCTTGGGTGGCCGTGTAGTTCGGTACACATATGATAACGTAAATAAGTGCTATTTATAGAGAAGACATCTAAATATACTTCAAAAACAAGGTTTTTCCTGACGTTTCTGAAATAATAAATGAGAATAATATATAATAACAGTGAACAGGACTGAAAATGATACTGGAAGCAACTAATTAAGGAACTTGTTAATCAATTGTTAATCTGTATCAGGCCATGGATCGATATTTTCCATTTACATTTAGTTTGTTATGAAAAATAATATGGTTGAAGTATGTGTATTATATTGATGTTAAAAGGTGGATTATTATCATTTTGCATTGGATTAAGGTTTTGTCTTCAGGAAAGTCAATTAGCAATTTAAACCTATTGTTTTTATCCGACCTTCCGATCCATTAAACCATTAAAAGTTGTACAGGATTATAGAAACATGTACTTAATTTTTTCTTGATCAAAAGTAATTTTATTACATTTTGGCAAGTGAATCAAAACAGCTTTTTTTTACTTCAAAGGTCCATGTGATATTCTTAAAATGCGCATATGAAGGCAAGCTACGGTTGCTTGCTCTCTGTCATACGGATATGCATCTTCACGATGTCAATGTATTACGCCTAATACCTTGACATGATCAGACATATTCTTGTATCAGAGGTGTTAGATAGTTCGTTATATATGGCATTGTAGAGATAACGTTTACGATACATGAATAATTTGGTTAGGAAAGATGTCTATCTTCAATCAAAACAATCTGATCAAGTAGCATCCTGCTGGATGGTACACTCTTCAAATACCCTTTTCCCTGATCAATAAGTTCAGATGTCCTCAATAACTGTTATAACCGGTCAAAATAAAGTAAATATATAGCGCACAATAGACGCACATTTACGCTACACCAAAGGTTAATAGGCTATCACTTGAGATAATTTATACCCTTATAGTAGGTTATTTGAGATCGATTGGATCGCAGTTAAAATATTCAATAGAGAGGTACTTCCGTTGAGAAATGTGTACATAGTTACCGCTGAATTTCCTTTCTATTGTGTGCTGAATCGTACAAATATGGATTCACAAAACCTCCCAGTCCTATCGTAAGCAGAGTTTTGAAATAAAAATCGTTTCGTTTCGTTTTATTTATTCCAATTTTTTCGAAAACCGGCGTTTGTGAAAAGCGAAACGAAAGATTATATATGTTGATGAGGAGTTTATGGGCATTAGACACTCAAAGGGTGATATGTATTGTTGTGTTTAAAATGCTATTTTGTTTGCCTGTTATAGCTGTGTTTATAAATTGTATATTATACATAATTATTGTCAAATTGTCAAAATGTTAATCGTTATTATTATTATTATTATTATTATTAATATGCAAAGAGATTATGTAAATACTATTTTGTCTAGCCTCTTTAAACTTCCTTAATTTTGTTGAATAAAATTCTCCATTCATAGTTTGTCAACTTTTTATCCTCCACCCCACGAAACCCAACGTTGCAATATCGTTTTGAAAATGATGCAGTGAGCTGGAATTGAGCGAGAAATCAAATGACTGCAACTTTATTGCTTTGATTGTCGTGCTGCACAGCGCGGTCGTTCTTTCTTGCAGTGGCCCAAAATTATTTTCTATTTTGAAATGATAAACAAGGACAATCAATTTGGATCTCAGAGAGTACCATCCTCACAATGTCAGGCTATTACCAACTCTGTCTTATACCTTGGCTGTAATAGCCACCTTTCTTGTATCACGGAAGTTTTGGATTTGGTTGGATTGTAAGTTAGCAAATACCCCGACAGAAATTCTGTATAGAGTAAGCTATAATGTTTACAGTCTATCCGAGGGTAAAGATTGGCTGTATTCACTGACGTACAATCCAATCAAATCGCTGTATTCCGTGAAACATGAAAGGTGGTTATTGCAGTCAAGGTATAAGACAAAATTCGTTTTAGCTTGATATCGTGAAGATGTAATCGTCACAGTACCCACAGACCCCCTACCCCCCAGCCCCCACGCCCACTTTATTCCAATAAAGTGAATGGGCTAAAATCTGCAAGAAAACGTGCATTGGTACGGTAGGTGATTAAGACCAAATAGAATCAAAATAGGATCGAAACAGACCCGAAATAGGATTCAAATAGGATTAATTAGACCTACGTTCGTATCGAAGTTTAAATCTCCCGTCTTTATACCACGCGTTATGGTCAATATTTTGATCTTAATCGTCTTCCATATTTATTTGAATCGGATTATTTATCTTGACTTTTAAAACCTTTCGATGTATAGTCAAAATTCCTGTCTTATAATCCCCCGATGATAAGAATTGAAGCTATTGCAATGTTCGGGATGAAAAAAGAACGGCCATACGTTCGTCGACCCCTTTCAGCCATAGGAAAAAGTTTATGTGTAAATATTGCAACACGGATAAACGTATAGATTATCGTGGCATATTACTTATTTGCCGTTTTTAATCCACCGTATTCTGAAATCCAACGATAATCAATTGAATCTATTGGAATATTGAGGATTAAAAAACGGCTATTAGAGATATTCGTTCCTTGATCCCTTTCAGCTACATGAAAAAGTTTCTGTGTTAGTATTGCAAAACGGATATACATATAGATTATCGTGGCATGTTACTTATTTGCCGTTTTTTTATTCCACCGTTTTCTTAATTCCAACGATAATCAATTGAATCTATTGGAACGTTCGGGATGAAAAACAAACGCCATTAGCGATATACGTCTCTATGTTAATATTGTATAACAGATATCCATATAGATTATCGTGGTATACTTAAGATCAACGGCCGTATGTAGTAGTATCCTGTTACAGCCTTATCTCCTTCACTATTAGTCGCGGTACCGGGTCCTACATGACAAACTTTGATTGGTTAAAACAATATCATAAGAACAACACTGTTGTAGAAAACCTATTAGATTGCAATTGAGTCAAAAAATAGTAAAAATAAAAGAAATTTTAATCTAATTCTGATTGAAAGGTCGACAAAAATCCAGCGAATAATTAATTCTTCCAGATGCCACCGGTTTTTTGAGTCGTTGAACAGCCAATTGCTCGATTATTCGAAAGGTCGACCTGAGCTCCGTTTAATTAAAATTAAATCAAACTTTCGTTCCGTTTTTTATTAGCTTTTTAATTTGTAATAGAGCCACTTCAGTTAGGGTCTAACGACAGTCCTCTTGAACCATCGTCAAATTAACCTTTTGACCTAACTCGATGACGTCTGCTTTAACCAATCACATTTCTACCCTCTCCAGTGCTGGCATTTCTTGACGCGGTGTTTATAAGGCTAGGTCAAAGGGTTAATTTGACGAACGTTCAATAGGGCTGTTGTTAGACCCTACCTGAAGTAACTAATTTTGGTCTAATTTTAATTTAACTGGGTTTTGTGGGAAATTATTTCACCGTAGTCCAACGGAAGGGTGTGCTTCAAACAAGTGAGTTCCTGTTACCTCAATCAACTGGGAAGTGAGACCTCGCAATTAGCTATATCTGATACGATTTCTATAGATTGATTAACATCAGTTCGGTTTGATCTTGGTCATTCGCTGTTTTCTATTAAACGCTCGTTACGCTTGCATAAAATAGTTCGTTTGCACAGAATGTCGTCGACTCAGTGTTTTTTTTTAAACCGGACGTATCAAGAAATCAATCGCGACAAGAATGTCGGACTAT